CTTTGATATATATTTTTTAAGAATAGAAAACACTTCTGCTTTCCTTATTTTATTGCTTACAATAGCTTAAGGAAGACTGTTTTAAGCTCCAATTCAACGTAGCCTGAGGTAAATTACATGGAATTCTTTGGTCATGACACTCGCCCAGAGCACTCTTACTTTTTCTGGTCTACAGAATGTGTAAATTTGCCTGAGCCGTTTGTTGTGTTTTGTCACCGGAATTGCTTAGCTGGGCCAATTCAAAGGGGGTGTCAACGAACTGAGAAGGGGTGACCCGGCAGTGGCTTTGGATTTTGGGCTATTTGTGCATTTGACAAAGGTAATAAAAAGGGCCTTTGGCTTTTGAAGCGTTGTCGTCGCCTGCTTGTTGATTTTGTTGCTCTGTTTACTCGGCTCAAAGCTATAAAATATATACAAATATATACGAAAAAAAATGTATTTTTACTTTTATTTTCTTGCTGTTTATTTGCCTCATTTTTTGGGCGAGTAAACATGCTCTGGCATTTCCCGTTTCCATTCTGGGATCTTGTGGCCCTAAATGTGTTTGCTTCTAATTAAAATTAAAAGTTTTTTTTGCGGCTGACAACTGCCGTGAAATAAATTGCAAATGTCAGCCGCATATCTCTGTCCTAAGGGCAAGGTGTAAGCAGTAATTACGGTGGAATGCAATTGGTCCTGCACTCAATGATCCATTCATTAAGCCAGTCAACTCGTCAATCAGCTAAGGCAGAGTGGAAGCTGCAAGAGCGTAAAACCCCGAGGCAAAAAATTAGAGCTCATGTGGCACTGGATTCAAGTGGCTGTTGCAGCAACAAGTTGAAGTCACCTTGATTGCAATTAGTAGCATTCTCCGACATTGTTGCCACCTTAATGAAATGAAAACAAAGTTGGAAAAAGCCAAGGAAAACGACGGAGCGAAGCGAAGAGAAATTCAAGTCCGCTCTTCACGGCGACGTTTCGAGAAGGACTCGCTGTCAAGGATTCTCGCCCTCCCCCCATTAAGCCAAATGCTTAAGTTCTGAGCTTTGCTTTACTTTGCGGCAATAGTGTAAATTTGTGTACCTCCAGCTGTAAATGATCTTGGGGGATTAAGAAAATATCTTAATGTTTATCATATTAATATATTTTGGATTAAACTTTGTAAATTTATTTCTCATCCAGAGCTTATTAAATTTTGTATGTAAGAAAACTTGTTTATAACTGAACTTGAACTATTTCAATTTAAATAAGCAGTATCCCTTTTTATTGTGCCATATAAAAAGGTCTATAAAATATAAAATATAAGCCATAGAGCTCCTAACATTATGTGTTTATACGTTAAATATTAACCTTTTAGGATATTTTTTTTATGTATTCATTGAAATAAATCAAGTGTTCGTTAATATTTAATTTAAAAAACAGAAAGTTGAGCGCTTTAACGTACATCCATTTAAGTTAATTAAAATTTAAACGTACTCCGACTTGACTGAATTAAAGGAAATTTAGTAAAGCATCTGAAAATAATAATCTGAGGTGTTAAACCGGAAAGGCTTTGCGAGCCATTTAACCTTACCGCTTAACAACCAGTAACAATATCCGCGACTTGATGCCATTTTGATTGCCATATTCAATTGCCACTTGTTGGCTTTTGGCCCCCTGCAAGAGAAAAAGAAACCAATTGGTTAGAGTGAAAGTTAAAGAGAAAGTGAAAAGGGTGCGGATGATGCACGCACAAATGCGCACCCCAAGCAATGTGAGACTCAGATTGAGATTCCACCCCAAGCAAATAATAAGACGAAATAAAGTAAATGCTGCTTACAAATTTCCAATTGAACGTAATGGTCGATAGAGGCAGGGATGTTTGAATGCTGGAATGCTCTTAACACTTCAATCTAACCAGCGGGGAATACCGTTTAATGTCCTGACGAATTTCAAGTCCCACAGCAAATTAAAATTAATGCACAGCTTGTGGACAACCGGGAGCCGAAGCTTAAAGGACGGGTAACAGAACCAGATGTTGCAATCGAAACTGGGCAAGTCATAAATTATTCAGGACACTTGTCAGCTCCAACTGGAAAGTATCAAGGCAGCCAGGACTCTCAACGCAACATATGCCACTGAAGGGGGCTCCGAACTTAATCCCAAATAGATATCGGATTGGTTAAATTTTAATTTGGTCAAAATTTAAGCCTTGACCTTGCCAACGGCATGTCAGAAAGTGAGAGGGCGCCCCCAAAGGCATGTCGCAAATTTTATAATCCCCATAAATTTTGTTCGTCTCATTGAACTCGGATTATCGCAGCGAAGGCAGCACAGTTTCTCTTCATATTTCCCTTATGTTGTTTTTTGTTTTTATTTTCCATTGCTATGGGTGCTCTTTGGGCGGGTTTCCTTTTATTATTTCGGGTGTTGGTAATTAAATTTGTCATCACGCTCAGCTGGCAATTGGTCGTGGGTCAACGGTCATAAAAAGTGACGCCCAAATGTAGGCAACGAGATTCGGCATTTCACCAACGACCACGATGTCCTCTCTTTATCCGTTCTCTTAGCCGTCTCTTTGGTTTTGCTCGCAGGGAAAAGCTTTCGTCCCAAAGCTCGCTTTTTGCATATTTGTCTTGCAGCTTTCCGTTTGTTTCCGTTTCTGTTTCTGTTATTTTATTTCCCTTTGCCGCTGTTAATGATGCGTTAAATTTAAATGGCCATAACAATTAACGGTAATGGCTTTTGAAGTTATTGTCTATAATGTTATTTAGAGTTCTGCGGAAGAATTTGAAATATTTGCATAGTTATGAATGCCATTATGCTAACAGTAATGACAGCCCTTCGCCGTAACCCTTGTTACCCTCGCAATGTCTTAATCAAAATTTTGTGGAAAGCCCTCGCTTTATGGCAAAGCAGGTCAGCCAGCGAAGTGCACTTGTTGCCTTTTAATAAATAATATTTATTACAGTTTCAGAAGGGGTTTTTGTGTGTGCACTTGAAAAAAAATAGAAAACCTAAAATTTCTTATTTATTATTATAACAGATTTATTGTTTAAGAGTTAAAGGTGAATGAGCTTTATTTTTGATATTCTTTTATCTTTTATTTTAAAACAAACATTTCTCTAATTAGCTGTTGTAAAAATCACTACAAATTATATTTGTCTAAATCTATAAATTATTTTTAAGTGTCGATAAGGGGCCAACAGGTTGTGTGCTCTATAAATCCCTGAACAAAACTCGTTGTCGAACAAAAAAGGATTAAATTGCCATACTATTGAAGTTGGAAAACAAAACCGAAGTGCTTGTAGTTTTTCGGGGGTTTGTAGTCCTTTGGCAACATTTATGAAACATTTTCCCCGCTCTCTGTTTTCCCCGAATTCAATTCAATTCAATTGGCCCGCCCACGCGGCGTATACGTAACACAATAAATTATCAAAGTACAACACCGGGACAAAAAATTCAGCACGTAGAGCAGAAGAAGGGGTGGCTGTCCACCCCTCCAGAAGGCAGCGTCAAAGGTTAGTTTACGCCTCCGCCCCATTCAAAACACAATAAATACTGCAAGTGGGCGTCGGTTCTGTTTGTTTGCTAGTTCTGGGTCTGTGCTCTTCGATATCAACAAGAAATTCAAATAAATGCATTTTAATGCCGGCAGCCTCAGCCGAGTGTGGCTGCTTTAAAAGCTTTCAAATAGAATAATTTATTTCCCTCTCTCTCTGGAGGCGATGGTGATATGTGGGTGGAGGGTGGTGTGTGTTGGTGGGTGGAGTGAGTGGGGCCATTGGGGGGTGTGTGTGTGGCACCATCGATATCCCCGTACATTGATGTGTTAATTGCCGCAATTCCAAGGAGGCCAAGGAAACGGCCAATCAGATAGACCAGAGTTGCCAGCTGCTCGGCGGGAATATTCTCATTAGTCTCATTGAATACTAAGCATTATTAAATCAGTTTCAATATTAGCTACTTAGCTGGAAAGTCCTTGCACATATCTACATAGTTCCTTTGTGCCGAGCTGACAACCCTAGGGGCAATTTCCGTTGCCTTGCATGCAGCGCCATCCCCAATAATTCTTACACATTTTGTGTAAAAGTATTTTCATTCTTCTATTTTTTTTCTCCTTCCTTGCTTGCCTGAAACAATGCATTTTATCTCGGCCTCTTACACATTTTATTTTTTACTCTTTCCATTCAGCTTTGACACAAGAACACACACCATACACACACACACACGGATAAACGTGAAAACGCATATGGAAGTAGAGGCTGAGACGGTTACATATTGGGGTGAACCAATTGTTAATTAATCTATGTACATTAAATACATGGTTTAAAGCATATTAAGATCATTTGTTGGATTAATAAAATATAATGTATCTTATATTTCCAAGAGACTACAAATCATATATTGAATAGAGATAGATCAAAAAGTTATAGGGAGAAATCTTTAGCAAAATAATACTTTACTACTACATAGCAAGTCGAGGAATATCAAGAATAATTTTAGAGCACAAGTAAATGTAGAATATTGTTTTAATTGAATCAATATCGAATTGTTTTAACTTACAGGGCCACCCCAGGAAGGAAACTTGCAGTCAGCCCGCTTGCCGCCTCGGTTCACCACGCCACCTTGGGATTCCGCCCGGAATGCAGGCTAGTATGCATGTCTACACTAGATACGATACTACAACTAAATACTTAATTTTGCTCTTTGCCGTTGCCTTTGATTCTTTTAATTTTCCATAGCATAAAGGGTGCCGGGTATGGGGTGGTGCAGCCAGCATGGTGTCTACGTTGTCTGCCAGTACTTACGGCCTACGCATACACTCACATGTGGGTGGAAAATACGGCGGGAAAATCAAGAGGGGGGGGGGTCGGTGTGTCTGGCTGCCTGGAAGACAGCTGTTTAGAGCATTGGGTTCGATGCGACTGCAGAATAAGTCGGTCTTTCAACGCCATCGGACGTTCTTTGTGCCGCCATTTCATATCCATCCCCTAGTTGGGGGGGCATATTACTCATACGCCGCGTGGCGCGATCGCTGGCGATGCGGAAGTGAAATTGTTTTCTGATTGAAATGTAAATAAGCACAGCCTGCCAAAACAAATATCGTGTTTATCATTGAAAATATGTGAAAGTGCAGACCTCTGATTGACGCAGGCATCGGCAATGTGCAGTGCAATGCAGCCGTGACGTCTCATTCAATAAACCACAGCGAGGCATTAAATATTTGCCAAAAATTTTGAATATTAAAAGTTTGTTTGATACTAAATTCTAAACAATCATTTAATGGGTTTCCACTTCTCAAATGTCTGCAGAAAATCATTTCGAAATCGAACTCTGTACAATATTTTTACCGCCCGTTCCATTTTCATAAACAGTTGGTTTTAAATTACCAAAAAGAAAAAATAAAATACAAAATGTCGAAAGTAAATTGAAAGCAGAGGTAGACCATCAGTTTTGAGCTGTTGACAAGCTGCCATTTAGTGCACAGTGGTTCAGGTTTTTAGAAAAACGAATGTAAATTATGTTTTTAGTATAAGTTAACTATTATATTTTGTTTAAATAGCTGAATTGGCATTAATATGTATCTTCCCGGAGCAAGGTGATTTATTGGGGAATAAAATTACACAACACAAATGAAAGGGAATTAGCATTTAGCCTGACCTGGCCTTGGGATCAAGGATGTTTTCTCAAAAAAAGAAGAACACAAAAACTAAAGCATTGTGTGTATCATTCATTGACTGGTCCAATTGTTTAGTCAGATGTTTTAAATAAATTGCAGATGCTATTGGGTAAACAAACATTCGGCATTGGAACAGAGCAAGTAATTAGACAATTAAGACATTCGGAAGTCGTTTTTGAATTTCTCAAATTAACTGGGCAATAAAATTAGTACGATCCCCTTCCAGCCTGCTCGAAAGATGTTTTCAAAGTGCTTAAATTCTTGTTTGACACATTCTGACATTATGTTTTCCTGGCGCGACAGTTTAGTGCTTAAATGAATGATTTATCGAGTGGGCTGCGTTCCGAAATTCGGAAATATTTATTTGGCATAATAGGACTCATCGTTGTCTTGGCAACGATGGATTTTACAAATGTCATTCCCTCTGGGCGCTCGTGTAGGTGTGCGAACCGCCACGCATTTCCACCAAATCTCATTCGATTTCCATGTGCCCAATGCTAATGTAGAAATCGCAGAAAGCCCCGAAGGGCAGCCAGGTAATATCTATCTCCAGCCGCCCCCAATGAGCTCACATTTAATACGTGGTCGGTGGTAAACACGCACACGAATCGTATCTGCCGACATGTCTAATAGGAAATTGGCCAGAAGCGGCTAACTATCCGGGTCTCCCTCTCTGCTCCTCTGATCTGCTCCGGCGGTATCGAAATACTAGAACGCCCGGACCTGTATAAAATAAACAGAGGAAGGTACAATAAATTGAGGCAAACTTATTTGTGTGTGTGTGCGCGGCCAACAAAAGTACAAGAAAATACAAATATCGAACACAATGGAAACAATAATGTGCGAAACGATTGGAAATGCGCCACAGTCGCTGACGCTGTCTCCGCCGACGCCGCCCTCTCAGTCGTAGTCGTAGTCGCAGTCCCAGTCTACGAGTATATCTCAATACCTCTGCCCAGTCCGGTCAGCGTCCGCGTCTCGGTCAGAAGCAGCCGGCTATCCGGAAGGCCAACAACAAGTCGCAGGCGTGAACGGTTGTCCAATCGATAGGAATTATCGAAGTAATCAATCCGCATTTTATTTTATATTTCATCGTATCGATAAAAGTTTAACAATACATCTAAAAAATCATTGGAATTGTGCATCGATGCCATTTACAATTGAATGTGTGGTTTTGAATTATGGAAATTGTGTTCAGTTACGACCAAAATTGTGCAAAAGGATTGATATCTTTAGTAAGAATATATTCAGTCAACAGAAAATAAGAAAATAAAGTAAATAAAATAAAATAAATGGTTTAAATGAGTATCAATTAACATGAGTTAATATAATATTAACCAGAAGCTTATAAAAAAAGACATTTAAACCAAAATATGAATGGAAAACATTCTTAATTATTTTAAAATATTCAAATCATGCTCATCCTCCACTTTTCAATATTTTATTTTTGTGTTCTCCCCACAGTATCAAGAGTGCTATAAAAAATACGCTCACCTGGGGTCCCAGCAGGTGACAAGTGTTAAAGTGCAATGTGCTAATTATGTCACACGGGGCGTATGCGTGATGTTGAAAGCCAATCGCAAGTGAAAGCCAAAGCAGAGGCAAAAGGCAAAGAGAGAGCGGAAAACAAGAATCGAAAAGAAGATGGTGGCAAAGTAAAAAGTCTAAACGGCCATTCAATACTTGTTGAATTATCATCCGTGAATGTGAGTGTTTTTGTGTTTGCGTTCGTGTGTGTTTGCAAATGTCAACTGCCAATGCCCTGAAAGTGTAAAGAGAAAAATGTGAAATGCGAAGCGGAATCGGAATCTCTGGGGGAAAATGAAGTGTCAACGATTTGAGATGAAATTATCAATTGCCCAAGCTGCTGCTGCTCCTGCTTCTGCTGTTGTTGATGATGAAATGTGATTTATCCACCTGCCCGCGGCCGAGGTGAATGTGAATGTTTTTTAGGTGCGAGCGCGTAGACAACAAAGGGAAATAATGTCATGCATTGGCTCGACGGCATTTCCTTGGATGACAATTTAATTAGCGGACGCGCCAGCGGCAGCAACGGCGACAACAGCGACGGCAATCAGCGGAAATCAACGCAGTCGAGCTCATCGCCCACCAAAGCAAGTAGGTTGCACCTATTCCAAGTACGTACACCACTCTACACACACACAGAGGCACAACCCCTGCGGTTGTGTGCTTTAATTCGTTGGCGTGAGCTACCCGAGCGTGTTTATGGGACTTAGAGCGAGAGGCAAAGCGCAAAACTATCCATGTAATCCATATCCCCGACCTATAAGGAGTGACGTTACGAAATTCCTTAACCGGTAACTGTTGGGTGGCCATACTTATAAGGGAATAGCTATCGATAGAATGTATCGAAACAATCGGAACAAATAAAAAACTATCAGGCTTCTTTGCGATATAAACAGTTAATGTAGGAATAATCTTGTTAAAGACTTTGGATAGTTTGTATAATCGATACTCTTTGAAATATTATGAAAATCTTGAAAATCTTTATATTTAAATTATAGTATTAAGCTCAGTTTAAAGTTTTAAACTCTGGTCATTTTAGTAGAATAAACAACTCTCCTACTTTTCTGCAATTTTTTAAGGTCAGATAAATATAATTTGAGTAAAGTCTATATATTAGCTTAAACTAATTGCACCGAGAGGCATTCAGCAAGAAAAATTATAAAATATTTACAGATCAATCGATAAAAGCACTATCTGAAATGTATATACCAATTAGGCCGTAAAATGTACTTGAAACTTATTTTACCCAATTTCCATTCGCGGGATTCCAGCCAAATTTGTCTTTCGCAAACGGAAAATGAGAATAAAACTGGGGAGGAGGGGCTGGAGATTTATTGTATTCCATTTTAATTGGCCAGCAAATTAATACAGCCATGGTCCCCTGCCTGTGTGTTTATCTGCCCGCTGCTTGCTCATAATTCAATTTCAATTATTAAAAACATATTCATCATTTAGTCTCAGCAATTAGCAATGAATGAAAGCCAAATAGAAAAACCGTTTGAACATCATTCGCGTTCCGATTTTATGCGGCTCCGGCCCATTGAACTTGTTTGCGGGGGATTTTCGAAAATATATCTCACGACTCATCGATTCGTAAGCAAAATTTGTGGGGCCAATTAAATCGGTCCCGCTTCCGTTACCTTGATCGTTCATCGATCGTCGGATCGGGGGAATTGGCGCACTGATCTGAATTTTCCGTCCAGTATTTACCCCATTTTCCGAAAGCCTTCAATTAACACAACCGAATCGTGTGGAACCAATCAAAATTGCTTGACGCATTGATTTTATTTTGGAAATAATTCACAGCATCAGCAAATTGCAAAGTGTTGGGCGCTGTAAATCTCAGCAGAAAAGGCAAATTGCCGGCATATGGCAATTTAATTTTTAATTTATTGTTTACAAATTCCAGTTTCTTTCATTTTGTATCGTAACGTTTCTCTGTTCGATGTCCAAACATTACATCTTGCGGCAGACTGTTAAAAATAGAAGCGTCTGTCTCACCTTTTTGGAATGGCTGCGGATGACCCAGTAAAGCCACCGAGCAGCAGAATTTGTCAGCATGAAAATCTCCGGGAATCTAAATTGGTTGAGATTCAGATGCATTCAATAAAAATAAATAACCATGTGGAAACATACACAAAGAGAAATTAAATCGTTGTCAAGGAAAGCTATATTATGTTATGAAAGCAAGTTATTTATTTAAAAAATTAGAAAAAACAATTAGAAGTTTTGAATGGTTACTAAGTTATTACCTTTTTTTAGCGGTATTTTTTTCGAGAGCAGGAAAAAACGTCGTTCAAAAAAGAATTCTTATAATTTTCTTTATTTATTTTTATCAATTATTTTGTTCAGTGGAAAGCTCTCCTAACCGTGTTTACAAAAAAAATAGAGATATTAAAGTCTATGGATTTTTTTGGGACCAATTCGATTATCACTTGACGAATCCAACAGGTCATTAAATATGTTTATTTATTGGATTCCCCATAATCCGCCTGGGCCAGGGCTTCAAGGGAAACCGATAAAATTAAATACACAATGTCCCATAAAAAAGGAAATCCCTGTCACCCTTTTCCTTCCGCACCGCGCACATCGAATTAGAAAACTCATATGTTGGCCATTAAAAACTTTAACTGCTGCAGCCGCACATCAAAAGTTGTGCCCCTGCGAGTGCCCCGCATTATGTGTGTTTATGAAATCGTTCATATTCATATTCAGTCGAAAGATCCTCTCGTTCGTCTAGCATAAAAAGTGACCCACACACGAACATATATAAAAAAGAAGAAATATGAAAACGGAAAATAGCAGCCAGGAGGCACACTGCCCCATAATAGAACCATAAACTGCAACAGGCGGCGGCTGCGACGGCAAAAAATAGACAGAGACTTGTTCATTTTGCTTATTTGTCCGAGAGTTTAGCTATGCATTTTGTTTACTCACTGCCCCTGTCTCACGCATCATTTCTCTCATCTACCCCTCTCTATCGTTCCCCATAGCCTCTCTCTTTCTATTCTTTATTTCTATTCTTGTTGGAGTTGTCTAGCCAAAACAGTGCCGGGTCTTAATATTCCTACTAGAGCAAACGATATTATAGTAAATGTTATATAGTTAGTGTTTATAGTTTCAAGGGGACATTTAATTAAGTCAAATTTTTGTATTAAAACGTTTAGAAAGTTTGGTATTTAAGTTTTAACTCGAAAAGGGAAGTTTTCATATATACAAACTTTATATTTATACATTTTCCTTGTTGAATTGAAATTTAAAAATGTTTCAATATTTACCACAAATCAAAACAGATAAAACTATTGAATTAAAATTTCCAAATATCAATCAAGTAAATATAGTTAATATGTTAAAATAGATGCTGTTGGTTATCAATTTATTTTTATATTTCTGTAAATATTAATAATTTGTTATGATTTTATCAAATATCTTCAAATATTATTATGTATTAAATATTTTATAATACATCGAAATCTATTTTATACATTAATGAATGTATATACTTTTTGATTCACTGTATCAAAAATAGTAATATTTTTGCGCCTTAAGATTTTTGAAATTCCAATAAAAATACCTCCCGATTTCAATTACTGAAAAGCTGAATTTTTCTTCGTAAAAAATATTGTTTTATTTATTTAATATGGAAATACCAGGAATCCGCGAAAATTTTCCTCTTACCAATTTATTTAATTGTTATATTCACATCCGAAATGCTAATACAGCATTTAAAATTTAGTAAACACTCATCAATTCGAATTTTCGGTGGGTAAACTCAAAGAAACCCATCCATTGTAATTGGCAGTAAACATATTTATCTCCCCCACTGTCTGCGGAGGACTTAGCAGCTCACGCACATTCCGGCAGTTTATTGGCATGCCGTACGCTGTACGCCGTGAATGCACTGCGCCCCCGTTCCCGTTAACCGCCCTTCGCCCCCCTAAGGCATATCCAAAAAACACACACACGCACAACAGAAACAACAAATAAACTGGGGGTACGCAAAATATTTAACACGAAAACGCAGAATACAGAAAATTCGATGCTGAAGCCAAGTGGTTGCAGTTCCCAGTCGCGTGCCTCGCCGGCCACAACGTATCTGGATCCGTCCGAGGCGAGTATCTTGTACATCGAAGTTCGTATCTCAAGCAGTGTGCCGGCCTCCGTATTGTCACCGTCGATCGTTCGTGTGGGTGTAGTGTCCAAGAAACCATTCCCTCGGGATGCACAGTTGCGGAAAATATAATAGATAGTTCCTAAATAATAGATACCTCTGCGTGTTTATATTCTAATGGAAACGAAGTGATTTATGTCAAATGAGATAAATCTAATATCCATAAAATACCACTTAAATCAATCTAAAGTATAGTAAATAACTAATAAATTCAAATATTAAGTAAAATTAATCTTGAACTTATCATTCTCTGTTATCTCTGTTATGGCCTAAAATAAAATACCACTTTCTTAAATTTAAATTGAAAATGATTATATTTTAAACACCGAATAACTTAATAAGTGTTAACTTTGTTTTTATTCATTCAGATTTCTTGAATTATTGTACCTTCCTAAATTTTTAAAGAACCTACTTATCTTCTGTGCTATTATTTTAACCGCAGCTGTATGCATTTCCAAAGAGAGTCTGGTTATTTTACCTGGCGATTTAAATGTGAAAATCTGCTCAAGTATTCGAAATGAATTACCATAAATTGAAGTGATATTTTTATGTGCGGCCGGTTAATTGTTAATTGTCGGCGTACATAAATCTCGCCTCGCAAAAGCGCTTCATAAAAATTAAGGCAAATATTTATGAGTTCTTATTACGATACTGAGTAAGTTTATAAATGAGATGAATTTACGTTCTCTTTTTCTTGTGAAATAAATATATTTTCGCAAAAATACACAGCTAAAATTGCATAACTTGATGTTTAAATACGTTTATTCGCTTTCGAAGATACTAGAAACATGATTGAGACACATGATTGTTTGGCCTATAAAATCAACTTGAGGAATGTTTCTCAAATAAAAGTAGGTCCCTATTGACAGCAAGTTATTGAATAAATTTATCATTTATCCTCCCTCAAACAGAATCTTTAGAATCATATCTGGATAATCTTTTGTGCATCTTTCACCTTGATAAATTTACGGCGCCATAAATTAGCTAAAACGAATGTATATGTTCCATTATATTGGGTCCTGTGTGCCAGTTATGTAATCGACAAAGAAAATCCCTTTGCTGGCAAGCTTTTCAATGCTACCCGAGAGAAAAGAAAAAGTCCCCAGGCCCCCAGGGAGGGTGGAGAGACTCGAAGAGGCGGGGAGGGTCCTCAAGGAGCGAGGCTGAATTGTAACACATGTAAATATTAATGAAGGATGACAATGTGTACTTGACAACTTAATCGATAAATCAATTGCCTTGCCAGATAATGCCTTAACCCTTTTGAATAAGAAAAAATTATGTGTGTATGTCGCTACAGTTTCTGTCTGGCCCATTGTTGTTGCCCCTCCTTCCCCCACTGATAAGAAGGTTGTAAGAGAGGAGGTCGTGACTGTGGGCGGCATTCAGTGCGTGTGTAGCATACATCCAGGCGCTGGTACATTGTGTAACCAACAGCCGACAGCCAACAACTCGCACCAGTCCGTCCAGACAGCGTCGTCGCAAAAGCCATAAAGAACGGAATGTCATTGAACATCTAGATATTAAAACGGGAATCAGTATTCCACACGGCAGCCCGTCGAACCCAAGGTTTTCAAGGTGCCACAAAACGTATACCAAATGTTGGAAGCACTTTGCCAAAATATATTTACACAAAGGGAAAAGAATCTCCGAAATTGGATTTAGAATATTTTAAATTTAATGGCTGCACGAGAGTCACTAAACATAAATCCAGCATAACTATGCATGGCATTACAACTGGCCCACATAAGTATGCAATAGAAATACTTGTGAGTCTGAACAGAATAACCTTAAAGATTATATTCAGATTCTGATTAATTTGTAATAAATTTGTAAGAGATTTATTTTAATTATACATAGTTTCTTAGTTCGTAACATATAAAGTGGCAATTCATCAGTAAACACTATTGAGTAGAAGTGTGTTTCGTGTATCTTTGAAATTCAATAAGCAACTTTTAGAACAAATAGCTTTTAAAGTTTTTCTTTATTTCGAAACATCAACAGGGGGTTATTTAGATGATTTCAAAATCAAAAACTAGAATTGTATGGATTGATTTTTGATACAAATACGGAAACAATGTTTGCGGTAAACAATTTACCATTGAGTTTTGGTTTATACCGCATGGTTATCGAAATGGGAATATGTGCAATAATAGATCATCAAATGTTAAGGGATTTTTACGGTCTGTGCAAGTGTAAATTGCCATTGGCCAGCCGGCATAATTTTTTTTTTATTCTGGACCTGGGCTTTCTTGTTTGTAATTTTTCAATGCGCTTACATACTCTGCTCTTGTCTAAATAAACACGCTCTTAGCTCTCTTTGTAAACAACATGCGATCGAAACAAAAATGAAAATAATGCAATCAATTCAACAGAATTACTCAAAACAAAAATTGAATGGAAAAACACACACAAAGACAAAAAAGCAAAAACAAAAAGCAAGAAAATAATTTTCCATTTTCTTTATTATGATTTTGTTTTTATCCACCATTTCCATTTATATTATCTTTGCCCCGTTTTCTTTTCTGTGTTGTTTCGGTTTTGTGTACGCTCTTTTTGTTTTACTTTATGTGTATTTGTTTTTTGTTTGTTGGTTTTTCTTTCACATGCGGGAAAACTAATGCACGACTATGCTCCGAGAACGAAGACGTCATGCACACTATAAGCTAAATAGCAGGTAAACTCAACTAAACAATCTCTTTACTAGTCGTAAGCTCTAGAATTAAGTTTTTGATTCAAAATCTTTTTCGAATGCGATCGAAGGTATAAGAGAAAAAGCTTTGTCATACAGCTTTCAAAAAGGGGAAATCAAGGAACTTATATATTCTATATAGTCATTCTTATATTTAACACATCCATGAAGCTATATTGATCTTTAAGAGCTTTAGACACAGTAAAAAATACATATATCATTTCAAAAATGTCTTTATTATTTATCTTATAGTTATACTCTTTAAACTTAAACTTATCTAAGTTTGAATCTTGGTAAAAATAGTTTTTTTTTAACTGGGAATAGTTTGTCATAAATTTAAAATTAATATTTAATTTCCCATTCAAGATATTATATTTCAAGTCATATAATTTAGAGAAGGGTATTAATAAATTTCGGTTCACATTTATTGTTATTTTCTTTTGTAGTAAAATTTAAAAATCTTTCCACAGTATTACAAAAACTAATCATGGTTTTAAGAAAAATCTTTTAATTGATAAAGACACAAGGAATATTTATAAACATTTTAAGATAATTAAAATCAACCATTAATGTCTATTGGCATCTTATCAAGACATAATTTTTCTTCGCAGTCTTTTTTTATTAAAGCTCATTTAATCTGTGTACTTTTTGAAATTACCCCAACTATTTCTAAAACAAACATCTTGGTGAAGCCAGCAAAAAATATTAACGGCTAAGATTAAACTGTCCCCGTCAAATTTATGTCAAAATAAACAATAGATACAACGGCGGCGAATGACAGCGGCGATTAGCTTCAAAACAAATTGGCACGATTTAGCGAAAGGTGCGGGCTCCTTAAATTATATTTATGTTATGCTTCTGACGCGCCAAGCTAACCTTTGCTAATTTTCTAATTGGCTGATAAATATGCGGATTCACACCATTTCTCGTATACAAAATATTATTTATTGAAAGTGAGGGCCACCCGGTGAACTTTACATAATGAATATACAAAGTCAGCGACCAAGTGTGTGCGACTTATTTTTAAATGTTGTGCGTAGAAGAATAAATACATATATGTCCAAGATTTAATGGGATCTTTGCGATCGTGTGGGTGCCAGATATAGTTTTATTTAGGCCGCCAATGTCGCGACACATATGACAAGGAGAGAGCGTACCCCGGTTCGCCAATTTAATTCATTTTGAACCCTATAAAAATGCTGTTGATTTAATTGAAAATGCGGTTTTAGTTAATTTACTCCATCATCTGCTGCTTACCAAGGAAATAAATTAATTACTCCGGCACGCAGTTACAACAATGTCAGTCCGCAAATCCCAAACCAAATGCGACGTGGAATGCGATTAAGAGCTTGATTAATTTCAATTTATTTCCTATGCTATTAATACTGGGACCTGCAAAAAGTAGTGCAATGGAAATTACATTCAACAAATAAATATGCGAGTAAATAAAGTCAGTGTGCTCGGGAGAAAAAAGTTTAATAATAATAATATTGTCATAATTAGATAGATAATTGATTGGGTAAGCAATGGTATTAATTTTTTTACAACCTTAACCAAACATAAGAAGCAAAAAGGGAAATGCTATTTGTCATTTAATTGAAATTTTAATAATTTATATCAGAAATTAATAAAAAAATATCAGGAAAAGCTTTTTTCCAGCTGACTGGATCTACGTCATTTGCGTCAGAAAAAATTCTTCTATTTCATCGCGTTTCTTTGTGAATACACTTTCTGCATTCGTGGAAAACTTAGTTTATTTCATTAATTTGTTTAATTAATATGAGGTAATGAAACATTTTTTTTTACATATTTAATTTTATGATCAGTTTAATATTATATAATTTCAAGGAAAAAACATTTATATTGTAAAGCTGCTGCTTAATATAAAAATTGAAAATAAACAACAGAGTTGTTATAAGACAACATTTTATTAAGGATTTTTAGGAACATCTAAGAATACTTATTGTTCAAAACAACGATCATCAGCAAACATAAATCAACCACTTGACATTTGTTTAAGAGCCTTGTCGGCACTCGTTTTTGATATAAAATAATGAGTTTTTTGAGAGCATCCAAAGTTCGTTGTCCTTTGCAGATTCACCTCCCCCCGATCAGCTTTTTTGGCCTTATAGTCTGGTCTGGTTATTGGCGCTTTTGTTAATCTTATAAACGAATTCTCTACACAGCAGGCGTACATTTCATTGAGAATGATGATTTGTTGTTCCTTCGATTTACTCGCCCAAAATTTTGCTTTATGAAACTTTTTAGCCATGCGCTAGCTTTTCGCTTTTCGCCTTTCGCTGTTCATTTAAAATTGTTCTTTTTCTTTTAATTTAAATAAAAATTTGATGCAGACAAAGCTTGTTGCTCTTGGCGGCAGCGTTCAATGCCAGTCGTCGGCGTTTTGTTGTTCTAGTCGCTTTGTTTTTTGGCCAAAACTGATCTCGCCCAACTGTCAGTTTTCGGTTCAGAGTCGACTCGTGCGGTTTTGCTGCGGCGAAATCGACTTTTGTTCGCGCATTTCTCATATTGTCACGCGGCTGGTTGTTAACAAAACCTATAATTAATTACTGAAATTAATGTGAACAGTGTCCATTTCCCCGATGATTGCATAAACTTGGGAAAACCCAAGGAAAAGTGTTACCAATTAGGCATCGATCGAGCCTTGTGTTTCTTAGAAAAAAAAGAGGAAATAAATGAAAGGCGCCAAGGCAGCTCGAACTCAATATGAAAGGAGCCGGAAGAGCAACAAGCGCTCGGAAAAGTCTGCCAAGTAAGACAGGTTTTCCATTTTTCAAAAAGACAGAGGGGTGAAGCAATCACACACCAAGTGCACTTTATTTCCTATACGGACATCTGGCTCTCGATTATTACTAAAAGTCATTAACATTTTCTTCTAATATCCATACACTCTAGCAGTCGTAAAATAAACAATATTCGCTTATGGCCCGTCGAACTAAAAATAATTCCAGTTTGTTTATCATCGGTCCGCGCACATTGTCCAACTTGAATTTACACTACAAAGTTGTACACAAAATGTACGCTGAAAATGTTTACTCGTGCAAATCTACATATCGGCAGATCTGGATCTGTGTATTTTTCTTAGTGCCTATGTGTTGTGTAGTGTGTGTAGACATCAATAAAACTGCCATAGTTTGCTGTGCTATCGATCATCAGATTATCGATTTTATTGTTGGGTATATTCAGAGGCGATCGTGACGCGACTAAGTGTTTTTTGTATTCATTGGAAAGTCAAAAATAGATTCGTGAAACGAGGGATGGACAGTGTTGAGGAACCAGCGGAACTAGACCTTTGGAACAGGGGCCAATTTGTTGTTATTATTATACTCTTTCAGGTTATTATAAATTTAGTAAGAAGCTGGCTTCGCAGTGAAGAAGTCATTTTCGACCCTATTAATCATATATATTATTGATCAGCATAAAAATCAAAAAATTAGTTATGACATTTGCAAAACTTAGATTTATCCTAGAATTGTCATATAAAACTTCACTTTAGTATACAGATATTTTAGGTTTTTTTTTTTTAGGTATATGAAGGTCAAAATTAAGTACTTTTAGCACTTTAATAGCTTTCAATATTATGTAGAGATCAAAGAATCAAAATCAGAATACGAACCGACTTAGATAGCTCACCCTTGATCTTTGTAAATCATCTTAATATTCAAGGAAATCAAAAGCTCAACAATTTACTTTTTCTTTCTAAAAAAATAAACAATTTAAACAAATGCTTTGAAGTGTGGAATAAAAATGAGTTTAATGCCGTTTTATAGTTTGAGTTTAATTGTAACTTGATGGATTAAAAAATGCTCGTTAACTTTTGTATATTCGTGAAAAGTAAAAGTGACTAGAATTACTATATAGACATTTTTGATCTAAAATTAAACAGTACCTATATGTACATGTCCTTAATATGTCAAGTGATTTACAATGTCATAAGGTGTAAATTTGACTTGATAAAAATAGAAAATAGCATATATAATTATCTAGTTTACTAAGTTAATTAATGTTTCAGTGTGTGATTGCATTTTTAAAAGGGAATGTGATGAATAATATTTCTTTCTTTAGCAATATCAATTTCAATTTGAAAAGTTCTTAAATCTACGGATGAAATATGTAGTACAATGTAGTAGGTGTGCCAAATTAATTTATTTGAAATCGTGAACATGTGTATGAAGGCGTAGAAGAACGAATCAAACAAAAAATTGTATATATTTACAATTCATTAAACGAAAGTTAAAGAGCTTTTTACTTATACATAACATATTATTAAAACAATATTTTTCAATGCAAATTAAGTACACATCTTAAGCGATCACAGCATTAAGAGTTTATATATTTTGTATACTATATATTTATTTTCATTCATTTCGTCTGCCTTCTTGCCAGACAATTTGATTATATATTTTGGGCTCCCAAAAGAGTGCAACAAAATTTTCAGCTTTTCAAAGAGACTTTCGAAAGAGCAGAACATTAAAATAAATTTTCAAAAAATATTCAAATCTCTTTTCCAATCACGCAAAATAAATGACACTTGGCTGGGTTAAGCGTGGTGGTCAAAAATGCAAAGACAAAGCATTCTTGTCGTCTTTTAAATATGGGGCGGTGTTTTCACTTTTACGCATTCCACAAATCGAATTGGAGACAGTCCCCTAGACAAGATATGTATGTTCCAAAAGTATGTATAGGCATTTATGTATATCCGTTTATAAATATTTGTTTATGCCAGCAGTTGCGATGGCTCTAAGAGCTGGGGCCTCTCAAGCGATCGGCAGTTTGTCAAAAATTCTCAACGCAGACAGAAGTGTCAAATCGGTCGGTATAAAAAACGTAAGTTATGGAAAATTTGCAAGGCATCCCATTTTTATGGATCATTTGGGATTTGAAAAGATCTCTTAAAATGCTTAATTTGATTTGCGGAATCAAGTGCTTAAAAAATTCTTTGGAAACTTTGGCATACTCTTTTCGAGGATCCCCGTTTGGTGTTTATTTTCTTAACAAAATTGGATTGGTAAAAAATTCCCTTACTTTTTTGGTACGTACGCCAGCAGCCGTTGATTGTATAAAATAATTTATTTAGGCTTTCGTTGTTGTAATTTATAGCACATCGGTGCTTATTTTCTGCTTCCCTGACGTTTTTTCTTTAGCATCACCTCCGAACGCACCAAATCAGTGATATATTTATATTTATTTTTCCTACATCGCTGTTTTTTTTTATTATTATTTATTTATAAGCGGCGAGTGTTGAAAGGCCGCTGCCACATAGTCGATGAGAGCGTCTAACAATTGGTGGTACCAATGGACCTGGACCTATCCGGTTCAGTTGACTTACAGCATTCGTTGGAGAACGACCCGTGATTTGGGGATACTTTGATATATTTTCTTATAAAACGAGTTGGGAAAGAGTTGGGAATGTTGATCGGCTGTCGTTCGCCATGGCAACCGCTTAGCAATCGCAGGCAATTATTTAGATTTAGTGTATTAAATTTGGTAGAATATTAAGAAAGTGCACGACATAAAATTAACCCATATTAAACACTTACAGATTGGACAGAAAGTCATCGCGGGGCATGATATACGAGAATGAAGAGCTCAGGCTGCGCACCATCAATATTAATGCAGAAGTTGAACGAGGTAATGGTTGATCAAAAGCGGGAGCAGATAATGCGCCATAAAATGAAATATACCGACAAACAGGAAATCAAATAATCGTTAAATTAATGGCATAAGAAACAACCTGAAAACAGCCAATTAAAAAGACATTAGATGGTGGCCAAGGCAACCAAAATAATCCAAGAGAATATATCTAAAGGAGAAATTTCTACACGCAACTAGACGTACATAAATATCTGCCCACCTATTCATATACACATTCATATATCTGTCGGAATATTCATTAAAAAGTGTTTTCATTGCCAAAACAGAAGATAAGCGAATGTAAACAATGCGATTTGAGGTGTCTAAAGGTCTGACAGCTCTGCGTGATGTCCACGTGCTGCTCCTATGTTTTGGTCAAATGGCAAGACTTTTCCACAAATTTCCTAGAGCGCTTCAGCATGTGTTATAACACACTTGTTTCTTGTTTTCCCGATTTTCCAGGTCAATCGGACATCAAACGCCTGCGGCGTGAGAATGAGCAACTGCGTCGGGAAATCTGGACGCTGCGGGACGAGTGCGACAAGTTGCACAAGCGTGTCAATGCCAAGTTTAGCGACCACGAGTACCGCGCCAGCAGGGGCAGTGGGGGCAGTGGCGGCACCTGCCACGCCTACCGCTGCAGCGGCGGGGGCGGTGGGCGCGGGAGCGGCGGTTGTGATGTAAACAGTGATGTAAGGACACCACCAACCCAACCCATCAACCCACTGCGCAAACTATTCAAATTTCTCACCTCAACGATTTCTAGGGTTTTCTAAAACATATTTTATTTTTAGGATTGCTTAAAAAAATAATATCCATACAAATAATTTTTGTACTTTGGTTTCTAACTTGGAGATTTTTAGTATGCCTTATGAATTTATGAATGTCAACCATCGTTTTGTAAATCACAAATTAGCTTGATGGAATAAGAAAATAATATTTATTCATAATCTATTAGTACTTAGTTAAATCCCCACAAAGTGTGTCTTTTAGGATTTTCCTTTATATTCTTTATTCAATTTAACAAACACTGATAAGATACTGAAATTATGAATATAAGTAAAGAAGTACCACTAACAAACAAAATATGTTAGATATTCTGAATAACTATAATAAGTTGCATTTAACATTTCAATTTACATACATTATCTTTGTCATTTAAAACCAACAGGTACTTAGGTCGTATTAATAAAGCTTTTAATAATCATAAACTTTTTCAAAAACATTTCCCAATTTATTTTAATTTTTGAAAAGGAAGTCCACCAAATATATTAAGTTTCTATCATCACCTTTATCTATATGTATGTATATTATATTAATATTCTTTCAATTATCCTTTAACAGGGCTCTGACTCATGTGATACGTGTCGCGGGGTGGATGATGGGCACTGCAGCGACGAGTGCTGCCAGGAGGGAGGCTCCTGTGCTCCTCTCAAGCCGCCCCTGCCACCGGAAGTACCTCGGCATCCATCACCGGCCAGGAACGAGGATCAGAAGAGCCAGAACAAGGAGCAGCAGCAGCCCATGCACTTCGATCATCTGTCAGTGGTCTCCGAGGAGACGCTTAGTAATCCGGAGCTGTTGCTGGCGCAGCACCAGGAGCACCTGATGATCTGCACACCGGATCCCAATGGATCGCAGAGTACGTTGCCCAGCATGATGGGTCCGCTCACACCACTGACGCCCATCGAGCTGGTGGCCAACCAGTTGAACGACTTGCAGGCGACGGTGCCCCCATTGTCCTACTTCGAGAACATCCTCAGCCAGCATCTGGGGGGACGCAATGCGGGTATGTTGTGGTTTTGCTTTACTACATTTTGGTTTAACTCCCCTCCTTATGCCTTGCAGCTCTCACTCCATCTCCGGAGCTGGGCACGAGTTCGAGCACCACCACGGGCAAGACGATGCGGCACACAAACGGGTGGGATTACAACCTGCAGTCACCATTCACGCAACGAAAGTACTCCAATCAGTCCTCCCCATCCTGCTCGCCACCGCCTCCGCCGCCACCTGTGAGCACGATGACCACCTTTGTGCCCACCGCCAGCCAGCAGACGATGCCCAAGATAGCTTTGAATGCCCCACCACATCTTGTGGTAGACAGCGGCGATATCCAGACGGTGGCCATCACGACGAATGCCACGCAACAAGCGCTCAACAGTCCAAAGCATTTCTTTGCACCGATCAAGCCGCGCCTCAAGCTCAACACCAAGTTGGCCAATCAGGGACAGGGTCTAGAGCCGGAGGACCTGCCTCCGGGATCTCCACCGCCGCCTTTAAGGGATCCGCCCGATATCTTCGTGAACAACGCCCTGGCCTCACCCTACCAGCGAAGAGTTTCACCCCAAGTAAGTCCGCGTCATCGGCGCACTGCCCACTCGCATTGCCACGCTCACAGCCACCAGAGGAACCGCCCACAACCGCGTCCACAGCCAGGACACTGTTCCCTGCACCGGGCCGTGGTGGATGTAGCCGCCGCCGTCGGTCTTGGTGAAGTTGGTCCGCACATGGGCTCCAGTGTCCTTGACATATACACAGCTGCTCTGGCTGCAGCCGCTGCCGCTAGGGGTTGCTCCCCGCTGCCGACTGCCAGGTCAGCGGAACCCATATACGCCACTGCACAAAAGCCCGGTCAGAGCACGTGCATCTCTTCAACGGCGCTTACCCAGCCGGTGATGACCATTACCACACATTCCACCAAGACCAGCACTTCGCCATTGAGAACGGTCCACAAATCGAGGGCCGTGGGGCTGGTGAAGAGGGTGGCCAAGTCCGAGGAGAACGTCAGTCAGGTGAGGGATCCTCTGGCCAGCAGACGATCATCCTCTTGTCATAGTCATTCCGAATCTCGTCATCCTATTAGATCATGTTTAGGTTTATTTGGATTAAAATAGATTCGGTGTTCAATGTCGTAGCGGGTTTAATTGTTTTTAATTCATTTATTTGAAGTATTCATTGTATATTTTATGTAGTTTATTTCCTTATGTAATGGAAATCTGGAAATCTGTAATACCGAAAATATTGGAGTCCTATATTTTATCCAAATATTCTACATAAGATTATTTTTCATAGGAGGGACAATATAATATAATGTTCTTTGGTAAATCCATTTAGTAAATGTTAGTTTGTCTCATTGAAATCAAAAATGCCATTGGGAAGGTAACATTGTAGTGTGTAATGTTGTAGAAACCTAGTTTGTGTCATTAGGAAAGTGATAATTATAATTTAAAAACGATTTATTACAGCCATAAATCCCCGGTTGTAAATATAAAGGATCTAATCCAATTTCAAGTTACATGTTCCTCGCACTTTCCACTCACAACTCAAATTATTTTTGTCCCCAAAGCTTGCACTGCTTGCGCTTATAAAATTTATTGATATACATATTCCATAAATATTAAAAATACTTTTCCTTTTCATTAGACGGATTCTGTGAACTTGGAGTCGATTCTAAATGATATCGAGACTATTTCGGAGGATATCCTGGCCATTCAGCTTGAGAAAAGCAAGTCACGCGACAACCTAAGTCAAAATCAGAACAAGGACGATGATCGAACGAAGAAGCCATATCGCTCCGAGATGAATTTGTATCTGCAGTATGACGGCACAAATCCGACCATTTCTCCTGCCACAACGGAAACGGAAATGGGAACAGCCACCACGACTGTGCCCAGTACAAGTGAGTCGGGCCACAGCGGGACTGGAAGTTGGAGCGGTAAACTAATGCGACGCACTCGATCCCTAGAGCGGGAGCACACTGACAGCCCCGCACCGCACATTCCGGATCCCATGGCTCCGTTTCCCGACAAATGCACCTACCTGGGATTCGATCAGGTGAATCAAGCAGCCGGAGTGCCGCCCCCATCACCGAACGGTCCTAGGCCTCCAATTGCAACCAAGCCGAATGTACCGCTCAAGCCACCGCCACCGCTGCCGCCAGCCCGAAGGCCAACGATGCCCACGGAACCACCGCCCCCGCCTCCAACAACTTCTGCCGGCGGCATCGCCCTGCAGCCCAACAAGAGCCAACTGTACAAGTCCCTAGCCTCGGCGGCGGCCAAGAGAGCCATCTTTCGTTCGTCGCCATCGCAGTTAACCCGATCCTTGGATGTAGACCTCACAGGAGCGGAAGCGGCGGGCGAGAACGGAGAGCAGGTGGCCTCGGGAGATGTAAGTAATGAAAATCCCTACTAAAAACTCTTTTTTTAAACCAAGATTTCAAGCAGAATAGTAAAAGAGAATATTAAAATCTGTTGACTAGTTATTGACAATTTTCAAGCTTTTGAATTTTATATAAAGCACTAGAAGCAATTTATATTAAAGTTTATATAAAGCTGTTGAACAGCCACAAGGGTTTCCTTATTTAAATAGAAATGTTTTGTGCACTGTTTAATAGCTTGGTAAATGGAATAAACCGCAATAAATAACTAATTTCGGTCTTCAATTATAGAATTAAATTAGTTCAATTAGGAAGACCAGAGGTAATAGGTTCCAAAATGTGAATTTAATTAATCGAAATGTCTGAAATTTGAAACCTTTATAATTAAATAATCAGTTTATTGATGCCTAATGAGCTTAGTTTGTTTATAATGACCGATTTGTGTTGATTTGCAATTGCAATTTTAATAAATTTAATTATTTAAAGAAATTATAATTATCCTTCTTGCATTACGATTTAAGATCTTGGTTTTATATGACATTTTTTCAAGTGCATCCCTAATTACGCTTCCAAATCCTTTGCAGCTGGACGAGCTGGCTCGTCGAAAGGCGCGTCGTGTATCCATTGTCTGCGGATCGGGACAGAGTGGCCGGCCGGATGAGGTGGCCACGCCTGTGACCACTGCACCCACGGCCACTGCCAGCTGTGTGGACTTAAGCTCAGTGCTCACTCATCCGAGTGTAAAGGCCTTCAAGATGAGCCATAGCACGCCTAACTCGCCACATTCCTCCCGCCGGCGTACTAATAGCAACACGATGGCAGCTCCTCTGGGAGCGGCGGGCGGAGGACACCCTGAGGTCCAGGCTACTGCATCGGCACCGCCCAGCACTAGTCATCACCATCACCATCGCAAGGAGGGCAGTGATCCGGTGCCCATGACGGCCACTGTATCGCGGACTAAGTGCTCGAGGCGGCACTCGGAGGGAACCGTTCATACTGGTCACCGCAACAGCTCCGCCAGCGGAGGAGGAGGCGGTGGCCACCACCACCACCACAGTCATCACCATCCGCACAGCGGGATGGCTATTAGCAGCAATCCGCACCATAGCCACCATTCCCACCAGGACAGCAATCACGAGACGGTGACCTCACAGTCGGACCGCAACTCCAACAGCTTTGCGTCCTCGCGCGAGTCCTCGACGAGCTTCAGCATGCGCTCCACCCGCCGGAAGATCTCGATCAGCTCGCACACGGGGGGCAAGATTCCGTGGTGCGGGTGCTGGGGCAACGGGTGTCTGTAGATTATAGCAGGTGGCTTCATTAACCGTCCGGGAACAAAATGCAGTACAATTCGCTAAGCTGGCTACATTGATTCGCAACCGATAACATTTAAAAAATAAATTAGAAAATAAGTAAGCTGAATTTTGTAGCTATTCCAATTTAATTTACCATACATATATTGTCATAAAGAGAGATTTCTTGATCAACTCAAAAATGGGAAAGGAAAAACAAGTATCAACTTATAAAATACTTAGGAGAAAGCTCAAGAACCCACACAGAAATTAGTATAAATTGAACACTTAATAAAAACTTAAATGATTTCAGTTAAAGGTTTTCCCAGTTATGCGAATTGTACTGTATCCCATAATTGAGTGTACATTTCTAGATCTTCATATACCCAACATAATTGTTTGTATATGGCTTAGTTAGTGTAGATTCTTTAAGAAATAAAAAACGACCCAGCATTTTGTTTCTAGAAACAAAGTACAAAAACAGTTTGAGTATGTTGCAAAGACGATTTAAGCCAAAATTACAATTGAAATTTGTTGTACATATATTTTAATAAAAACGATTAAGTTGTAGCATTCTAAATCATTATACATTTTATGAAAATATTTATGTTATAATTGTTGCTGAATTCGGAGAGAATACAAATCAGAAATACAAAATATAACATTTTGATGGGGATATTTACCTTTAGACCTGAAGGGGGTGCTAAATGATCTAAGTTTTAAATATAAAATTAATCATAGGTTTGTAGTTGGTTTATGTAATTGATCATTTATGACCTTATCAGGCTTGGTAAATAACCCAATTCGTTTTTCATTGGAGATAAAAATATGTAACAATGAGTTGGCTTAAATCCCTCTCGTTCTCAATTTGAAATCCCCGTGTCAGAATTTTTTTGCAGGAAAATTTCATTTCACGCTTGTTAGCCGCTCTAAAGTTGCCCTCGACGCGCGAATCCGCTGACTTTAACGTGAGAGAGCGGATAAGAGTGGTTAGTGAGGAGGGAGGATAAAGGAGTGCGCCAAATAGGTGAAAGGACACACCGGTTGGCGGGCAGGAAGCGGTGGCTGCAACTGCAACTGAAATTGCGCAACAAGCGAAAATATACAATATGCAAATTAGCCGCAAATTAAGGTGTAAAAATGCATGACACACAAAACGCCTCTAGGATATATGCAGGAAACAAATTAAATTTTCTCCATGTACCAGTGCAAATTGCGGTTGCAGTGCCAGGCGTGAAGGTGATGGGAGTGTGATAAAAAAAAAATAATAATGGCTGGATAAAGACCAGGAGCAGAGGCCACCGCAGTGCGCCACAAAATGTAACCCAACCGAGGGGCAGTCCATGTATATGTATCGTATATCCTTTAGAAATGGACTCTGTCCGACTCCATCACTGGCCAGCTGCCAATCAATTGGGCGGCACTTGAACTCGTTTTAGAAATAACAGAGTTTATAGCTTCGTCTCCTTTTAATTGATTGGCTGCCAAGTTTTGCCAGATTGCCGCGAGTTTTATTTTATTGCATTCTTGTCTGTCTTGCCCATTGTCTGCTGCCAGATGCAGCCCGATCCTGTTCTTTATCGCCGCGAGACATGAGAAATCAATTTGTAATCATTATGACTTTTGTTTATTTGCCAATGAAATCATATGGCAACTCATGAAGCCAATCGGAACAATTTGCAAGGTCGTAAATAAATTCGAAGACAGTGTTAATGATTGAGGCAACCAAATAATTTTCAGCAAAAGAAAAATATGTGTAAAAAATAATACATGCCCCGGGTGAGGCTCGAACTCACGACCTTAAGATTATGAGACTTACGCGCTGCCAACTGCGCCACCGAGGCCTTCGTTTCCCAGGTGACAGCATCTATTGTTGTGGGTATTCCGGAGAGGTGAGAGAAAGCTAAATATATATATAAATATCTAAGTGTATTCTGATGATGTTGTGATAACATTTCACCTTTATATTCAATTCTTAAAATACTTTTTATTCTGTAAATATACAAATATATATTGAAAGGGAATGTTTTATGATTTCTTTAAAGCCCATGCCAAATACAATACAAATAAAATTTAGAATGCTGCCATAAGCAAACACTAATTTAGCCACAATGCTCATAAGAATATTATAAGCCCTAATAACAGTAACCAATTATGATCTTGGCTCCCTGCGGCTTGAATCGTTTATTAAATAACTGTAACTGCTTCGACGTTAATGAGCCAACTTCTGTTTCATCAAACCATAAAAAAGGGTGAATTTTAGGGGACCAGCCCGGGCAGACGGACAGGTATCCCAGCTTGGCTTATTGTTTGATTTATATGCCCGACATACGCGGCGTATACTTATTTTATGGCCCTTGTTTAGGTTTCTGCCGTGACGTGGCATGGCGCGGCGTGGCATGCCTTGGCGCCTTCAATGAGCTGTGTCTGCACATATTTCTCAATCATTCCGAGTTTTCAGACAAAGTCCCCCACTCCCTCACCCTTACTAACTTCCATATAAAAAGGCTATATACGTATATGAGTTTCTATGACGCCTGTTTTGCCGTTTGCTGTTGTTGCGGGCGAATGTCTGCTGCTTTTATTACCATAAATTCTGTCGCTTTTCTCGCCAGAACCTCGAAGTCAGCTCGCAAATATACGAAAGTGGCAGGAGCGTTTCATTGTTTTAGCCGCCGAGCTTTGACGTATTAACAATTTGTCAAGCGAAATTTAGCAACAGCAGCAGCAGCAGTGGCAGAATAAAAATCAATGCCTGGTAACTAATTACTTGCTGGCTAAGGATGTCTTTCTCGCTCGTCCAGCTGAATTTGCAAAACACTCGGGAAAAAGGGTACTTAGAAGTACCAATAAAGTTTATTATTATTTTTATCACAAGGCATACATTTTTAAAATATTTAAGGTGATGCATCTTTCATTAAAATTCATTAAGGAATAACGCATGAAGCATAATTGTTTGATTTTTGAATGCCTTGTTTTCGCAGTGCACCTGGTGATTACTCGCCTGCAGCAGATGTGACACGCCCCCAACTGATTTGGCCCTATCCAGCTGGCGTTGCTTTGTTTGCCTGCATTAACTGAGTGGACATCCCATCCAGCGGGCAGCCACAGACACATCCACATCCACATACACAGATGTCCTGGCATCGCTTCGGGGGGCTGCTAAAAATTGCAGCTAGCAACTGATGATGTCCCTGGCGACGCGAGTTCCCCAGTTTCCGTCCACACGAGCAAAAGGGCAGCAGCTGCTGGTGCAGCACTTTTCCTCTTTGAGCCAAACACTCACTTTGATCATTTTTCATTTCCCAAAGCGACACATGAGCCCTCCCAGTCCATCCGACAGGATGCCTGCAACTGGATTCCAGGACTCCTGCCTGCCTGCCTCTGGATGCGGGGTACTAAATATGTGTGGGCGCTGCTGTGACAGCGTCGGACTTGCGTGATATTTTTATTAAGAAATATATCAAATGCACATAATGCACACATTCCCGGCTGCCATCATATATAACCCGGCGAGACTTGGGAGCCGGCCAAATGACACTTTATTATTATTTTCATTGTTATGCTGGGATTCTATTAAATTAAGCCTTAAACGCCATGATTGAGCGTAGCACATCGTTCAGCGTAGTCACCTCTTTGCCTGGCGAAAGTCGACTTTCCAAATTCGGAACACAAATTGCAAATTTATTCATACGCGTCGCGGTTCACGTCAAGCGTTAAGTTAAGTTAAGTGACCTTTCGAATGCCTAACAAGCCAGGTTCCCGGTCCCGGTCCCTGTCCCCTTTGAGCCTTTGTTGTTCACTGAATTTGCATAATCGCGTGAAGCTTATTTGTAAAATAAAAACGAAGCAACGCGCATACACACAAATGTCAGGAATTACACATAACGTCGGGCACTTCGTGGAAGTCCTGGGTCAATGCGCAGAATTCGTGTGCTAAGCCAGCGTTATACACTCGGAAAAATGTGTTAAAGCAACGTATTAAATCAGATTTATCCGCATTTTATATGATAAATATTTCTAGATCATATCAAGTGAAAATATTATTTTGCGACAACATAAAATAGCTAAGCCAATGATGAAATTTTCCCATTATTAAAACTACAGTTTTTCCCCGTATTTTTAGTTAATTGTTCTGAGTATTCTTATTTAATTTAACATATAATCTAACGTATATAATAATTATTTTATTCAAGTGCAAATACGTGTGCTTAGGGTCGGTGTATCAGGTTAAGAGTGCTTCTGAATAATTTGCATTTAACATGCGCGACATGAAAGGCAAATAAACAATGCTTTCGACTCCTGCCCTCGCTAAGCCGAGTGGCAATTTGTCAGCTGCTAACTGGTCGCCTGAAAATGCGCCTGTTTCCTTCTGGTGATTTGTTGCACTCGTTTTTCATTTGACTAAATGCTGCAAATGATGCGATTCGGTATGTGGAATGTCCAGGCTTCCTGCCCCAGTGTCCACAGTGCGTATACTTAATCCGGAATGAGACAGCATAACTTTCGCCTGGCTGGTAGTTATGAGTTATTGGACAGACAGTTCAGGCGGGACGCATAAAAACAAAATTAACATAATTTAGTTGTGAGCAGGACATGCTGTCCGGTTTCTTCCTCCTTCTCGAACCAAATAAATTGTAAAACTTTCGGCAAAAAGCGAAGAAGAAAATGTATTGTTAAGGCCACAGCTGAAAGTCAATAAGGCGAGCGGGAAACTTTTCCCATCCAGCCGATGATCATCAATTTATATATATACACTCTTCTATAATATACACATGTGATTGGACAGTGGGGATAGAGAATAAATTTGATTAATATTAATGCCAGTGCTGCTGCCGTGAATAAATACAGTTGCGGTTAAAATAATATTGAAAAGCTTTAAAAAAAATGTTTCTCTTATTGTAATTGTATTTAATCTCTCATTAATAAAACGGTAATAAGAAAAAATATAGATAATAAATTTATTTGAGGGGAATTATTCTTAACAAAACTATACATTTTTAAATCTGCTTGAGTACAGAAAAAAATCATTATATATTTGATGTTCTTACTATAAAATTATGCCAGCCAGTATTTTTTTATCCGCAACTGTATAAATATAATACAGCAACAAGGACAGGCAATATCAATATACCCAATGGCAGACTCCTTTTTATGATTTATTGTGTTTGGTCAGCGGACGTGGCCCGAGCAATTTCACCTTGGCTGCCATCATTCTCGTGCTCCATTAAATCTTTGGCGACACATTCAATGAGCCCCATAACGTGTGCCCTAATACCTTGTCTTCCCCTTGTAATTCCCCCTGCTCCGATAGCCATAACTCCCCTCTAATATCCTTTGTTTATAAATGTTCTAATGGAGGGCAAATTATTATTTTTCCTTTTTTGGTGTTTGTGCATGTCGAAGCTGCTTCCTTGATGTTGGTCGAGTGATAAATTGATTGGACAGCCCCACATACGCATGCGGTGCCAGGAGTCGATGGAGTCGGAGTCCGAGTCCTTCTGCC